TCGCTCTACGCCAGCCCCTGGACGTCGCCGGTGTGGATGAAGACCAACGGGGCCATGACAGGCCGCGGCACGCTCAAGGGCACCCCCGGCGACAAGTACCACAAGACCTGGGCCAACTACTTCATCCGGTGAGGGGCGGCCGCCRCGGGGGGCGGCGGGCACGGCGTGGAGCCCAGGCACCCCGCGTCGCTCATCCTGCACCCCATCTAGATTTCTGGACGAATACGCCAAGCACAAYGTGACCTTCTGGGCAGTGACGGCGGGCAACGAGCCCACGGCTGGCGAGATCGTCTTCTACCCCTTCCAGTGCCTGGGCTTCTCGCCCGAGCACCAGCGGGACTTCATCGCCCGCGACCTGGGCCCCGCGCTGGCCAACAGCTCCCACCGCGGCGTCCGCCTCATCATCCTGGACGACCAGCGCGTCATGCTGCCCTACTGGGCGCAGGTGGTGCGTGCCGGTGGCCCCGGTGGCCCTGYGGGGCCGGGGCAGCCCGTGACGCCCCCTCTCCTTGCCCAGGTGCTCCGCGACCCYGTGGCTGCCGGCTACGTGAGCGGCATCGGCATCCACTGGTACCTGGACTTCCTGGCCCCCATCGACCTCACGCTCTCCATCACCCACCACCTCTTCCCCGGCTACTTCTTGCTGTCCACCGAGGCCTCCGCGGGCTCCTACTTCTGGGAGCCGCGCGTGGTGCTGGGCGGCTGGGAGCGCGGCAGCAAGTACAGCCACAGCATCCTCACGGTAGGGCCCCGGCGCCATCCTGGCCGTGGGGCGCAGCTCCCTCGCGGGGCGCCGCTGAGGACCCCCCTCCCCRCCCCGCAGAACCTCAACAACTACGTGACCGGCTGGACCGACTGGAACCTGGCGCTGGACCTGGAGGGCGGCCCCAACTGGAGCAAGAACTACGTGGACAGCCCCGTCATCGTGGACCGCCACAAGGACGTCTTCTACAAGCAGCCCATGTTCTACCACCTGGGGCACTTCAGGTGGGTGCCCTGGGCACGGGGGGCACTTGGGGCTGGCGGGGGGTGGGAGGGTGACACCCCACTTGTCCCTGCAGCAAGTTCATCCCCGAGGGCTCGCAGCGCGTGGGGCTGAGCGTCACCAAGCGGTGCCACGGCTGCAACCTGGAGCACGCCGCCTTCCTGCGCCCCGACGGCGCCGTGGTCCTTGTGGTCCTCAACAGGTGGGTGCCGCCGTCGCGGGGTCCCGCCGCCGCCGCGGCGCCCCTCACCCTCTCCTCCCTATAGGTCCCCCACCGAGGTGCCCTTCGGCATCTCTGACCCCCACGCCGGCTTCATTGAGGCGCTGGCGCCGGGAGACTCCATTCAGACCTACCTGTGGAAGCAGCAGGTCTAGAGGGGCCACACGAGGAGGCCGGGGGGCAGCCCCCCAACCCCGCCACGGGGGGACCCGCGCGGGCCGCGCCGGCCGCCGCGTGCGGGGCCGCGTTCCTAAAATAAACGGGCTTCCTCCAGCCCCGCCTGCGCCTCCGCTGCCTCCCCGGACGCCTGGGCCCCGCGCYGGCCGCGGAGGGGGGGAAGGGGCGCATACCTCCGGGCTGACGTGAGGCTGCGGGCGCCCCGGCGGGAGCGGGGCCGAACAAGCGCGCGCTGTGCGCGCCCGGCGCGCCAGCCGCCCTGGCCAGACACCGCGTTTTCCGCCCGGCGGCTCGTAAAAGCGCCGCAGGGAGACCGCGGCCGTGCCGCCGGGCCCCGTCCCACCGCGGCGAGGGGACGGGCGGCCGCAGCAGGCGCTGAGCGCGGTGCAAAGCAACGGCGTTTATTGGCACGCGGCGGCGGCRGCTCCCGGGGGGCCTGCGGGGCCGCGGCGCCGCCCTTCCTCACTCCTCCTCCTCGTCGTCGTCGTCCTCGGGCAGCGCGGCGGGCGGGCGCGCCGGCGCTCCCGGGGCGCCCCGCTGCACCGAGACGATGCCGCTGAGGAAGGCGTAGAGCACCATGGCCCCCAGCCCCACCAGCACCGAGAGCAGCTGCTTGCGCCGCTTGTGGGGCTCGTCTTCTGCGTCGCTGCCGCCGCCGTCCGTCCTGGGGCCGCCGGCCGGCGGGTCGCCTGGCGGGGACAGGGCGCCGTGAGCGGCGCCGGGGGCCGGGCGCCGCCGGGTGCCCGCCGCTCACCTCCGTCCCAGGGGAAGTAGAGGCTGAGGATGGCGGCGCAGTGGTTGCACAGGTTCTGCAGGGACTTGAGGTGCTGCTGCAGCTTCCCGTTGGGCAGCTTGGCCTTGAGCAGCGGCGCCAGGCGGCTGAAGACCAGGGCGTCCAGCGAGGCCGGCCTGGCGGCGAGGCGGAGGCCGTGGGCCGTGGGCCTCCCCCCGCAGCCCCCCGGCCCCGGCGCGGCCCCAACAGGGTGACGTACGAGTCGCCAAAGAAGAACTTTTGGGAGCCGAGGCGCTGGGACAGGAGCGTCAGGCACTCGCGGGCATCGCGGTAGAGCTGCCAGGGAGCGACAGCGCCGTCACCCGCCCTGCGCCTGACACCTCCCCGCGGGTGAAGGTGTCACCCCCAACGAGTGAAGGTGTCACCCCCACCGTGATGCCGGAGGGCTCCATTTGGGAGGCTCCGGCCTCGCACATCCCCCATCCTGCTCTGCTGTCACCTCCTTCTCCAGCTTCTCCTCGTCCTCCATGTAGCCGTCGCCCCAGAGCAGCTGCAGCCGCTCCAGGTGCCGCTTGTGCATGCAGTTGGGCAGGAAGAAGTTGAGCGGGAAGGGGATGGTCTCCGCGTACCATTTCCGCGTGTGCTCCACGTAGTTCTTGGCGTCCACCCAGAACGTGTGGATCTGCGGAGGGCCCGAGCGGTGACGAGGCTGGGGGGGACGCGGAGGACGGCGGGGAGGTGCCAGGGGGGACTCACCAGCACGGGCAGCAGCTTCTCCTCCAGCAGCGACACGAAGGCCAGCGTGTCGGCGCCCTGCTGAGCCGAGAGGTCGTAGTCGGCGTTGTATTTCTGCGGAGCGAAGGGCACCGGGGCGCGATCGGGAACAGAGCCCGGCCCTGTGAGCCGACCGCAGCCTGCCGGCACCTTCGGGAAGGCGCCGCCGCGGCTCCCCGGGGAGCCGGCGCCTTGGCCGTGCGCCCGCGGCCGCACAAGGGAGCCGCTGTGCCCGGCGGCCCGCGTGGCTCCGCGCTGCCCGCGGAAAGCTGGCACCRGAGAGGCCGCTTTGCAGCGGAGCCTCCGCAGCTCCGAGGAGCCTTCTGTGGCCTCYGGGATGCTCCGGAGCCGGGGCTCCCCATGGAGAGGGTGGGCTCTGCGCCACRCACTGCCAGCACCGCGGGCCTGCACGCAGCCCCGGGGTGCCCTGTGGGTCCCCGGGGTCCTGTCCCCTCCGCGGTGCCTTCCTGGCCCCRCGGGCGCTCCCGGCCCAGCCCTACCTGCTTCCTGAGGTGGGTTATGATCTGCTGGGCTTTGGAGATGACGCCTTCGTCCCGCGTCTTCAGGGCGGGCAGGCTGCCTGCGGAAGGAGCGGGGACCATGTTTGTCACCCCCTCATGCCAGTGTGGGCCCAAGGGGGATGTCGCGGTCCCCGGGGGGGTAACGGCGCGGGGAGGAGGGTGGGCAATGGGACCAGGTGTGTGTGACGGGATCACGGTGTCCAGGAATGAAGGGGAGATGGGATGGGGGGGAGATGGGACAAAGGGGGCACCCCAGGGTGAGCCGGACATACATCAGGATGACGATGTCCACGGCAGAATGAGGGTCCCGTGCAACGGGATGAAGGCAGCCACGGCGGGATGAAGGCGGCTATGACAGGACGGGGGGCGCGGGCAATGGGACAAAGGGGTCCACGACAGGACAGGGACGATGTGCACAACGGCACGTGCCGTGGGACACGGACGCGCACCGGGCTCAGGGCACGTGTGAYGAGGCGGAGATGTCCTGGACAGGACGGGACACGTGTCTGATGGGATGCTGGTGTCTATGATGGGATGCACGACCGGACGGAGGTGTCCKTGACGGTGTGGGGTGCATACGAGAGGACAAAGGTGCCCGTGAGAGCRCAGAGGGCGCATACAAAGGGACGGAGCGCCCTACGTGGGGGCGGGCGGGCGCAGGTCCTTACCGGACGGGCTCCTCCAGGGGTTGGCGAGGCGGTGGACCTTGAGCGGCGCCCCCGTGAACCGCGCGTACGTCTGCACGAGAGGAGAGCGCTGGACGGGGCGGGGCGGGACGGGGCGGGACAGCCGGGCACACGCGGGACGGGACGGGACGGGACGGGAGGCGCTGGGAAGCGCCGGGGCGGGATGGGCCGGGCCGGGCCGGCCCCGCTGCCGCCGCCGCGCTCACCAGCACGGCCAGGCAGTCGGGATCCACCGAGGGCAGCCCCCAGCCGCCGGCCCAGCAGAACAGCTCCATGGGCGCCGCCATCTTCCGCCCGACCCGGAACCACACGGTGGGGCGGGACCGGCACCGGCACCGCCCCCCGAGGGAGGCGGGACCGGCGCTCGCGTGGCTCYGCTACCGGCGCCCGCCCGTTCGTCGGGGCGCCACCGGCACCCGAATCCCCCCTGCTCCTGCGGCACCTTGGCCGTGGCGGGCGGCACCGGGACCTCCCAGCCGTCGGGGGTGGCACCAGCACCTGCCTGGGTGGCACCAGGATCGCCCCGTGCCCCGCGACACTTCGGCCGTCGAGGCAGCGCCGGGAGCCCCTGGCCGTCGGGGCGGCACCGGCACCAGGCTCTCCCTGCAACCCTGGGGGCTGCAGCGGCCGCAGCTCCCGCCGGGCCCCCCGCGTGCACCTCGTCCCGTCCCATCCCATCCCGTCCCGTCCCGTCTGCCCCCGTCGGGGCCCCGCGGCCGCCAGCGGGGATTAGCGCGGCGGCCTCGCCCGGCCGCAGATGCTGCCGGCGCGGCGCCGGGGGCGCGTTGCCATGGCGAGAAAAACAGGGGCGGGCGCGGGCTGGAAAAAATCCCCGCCGTCCGCGAGGCGGGAGCGCCCCGCGAGGAATTCTCCTCCCCGCCGCGCCTGGCGCCGCGCCGCGGCTGCGGGAGCCGGGCCCCGCCGCTGGAGCGGCGCGCAGCTGGAGCCGGGCCGCCGGGGTCCGGCTCGCCCCGTTGTTATGGAGCCGATGGAAACAGAGCGTCAACAGGGCTCGGCAGCCCGCGGGCCTTGGCCGCCGTTCAGCGCCGAGCTGCCCCGCCGCCCGCCGGCCTTTCCCGCCGGCCTTTCCCGGGCCCCTCCGGCCGCCCGCGAGCCCCGAGCTGCCTCTCCCCGGGCGCGGATGATCCGCGGCTTTGCTCGCGGTTGGGACCCCCTTCCCCAGAGCCCGTTCCTGCCCCGGCTCCCGTTGGCTCGGGCCCACGGGGCGCTCCGCAGCGAGGCCTGTGCGGGGGCTCCGCTTGCGGCGGGAGCGGTGCATCCCGGAGACGGCGGGCAGAGCATCCCGCGCCGCTCGGCGCGGCCCCGGGACCCCCGCGCGGTGCCCGAGCTCCCGCCGGATGCCACCGCGTGCCCGGGGCTGCTCCAGACGGCCTGACCCCGCCGTGAACCGGCTGCTGCCAGAGCCAATTTCGGTGAGCCGGAGCCGCGCAGCGCCGGGGGGGGCCCGCAGCCGGCGCGGGGCCGGGGGGGGCCCCGCCGTCGTGCCCGGGATGCGCCGCCGTGATTGACGGCTCTTTGTTTCCTCCTCGGCGGCAGCGCCGGCCCCTCCCCGCCGGCGCCACCCCGCCCCGCCGCTCTCCGCTCCGCACCGGCGGCACCGGCGGCATGGGGGCACCGGGGGGCCCGGCGCTGCTGCTGCTGCCCTTGCTGCTGCTGCTGCCGGGCGCCGTTGGCGCCGCCCGCCCCGGCCTGCAAGGTAAGACGGCCCCGCGCCGCGGCGCCTCGACGGGGCGCAGCGGGATGCGGCGCCAGCTCCGCTCCCGGAGGCGGCGGCAGCGCGGGGACCCCCCGCCCCGCGCGGCCGCGCTCCCGCTGCGATCCCTGGCAGCCGCCCGGCGAACACGCGTGTCCGTGCTCGGAGCCCCCGGAGCGGCCGGCCCCGCGCGCTGCGGGGCGCTGGGGCTCGGGCGGGCAGCGCGCCCGGGGCTCGGAGGCTCCTGGCGGGGCGCCCGGGGCCGGGACGCTGCCCCCAGGCTCCCCCACGACTCTCGCCGCTGGAGTTCGGGCTGCTTTTGCCGCCGGCCGCCCCGTCGGCGGCTGCGGAGCGCGGGGCGCCGGTGCCGCCGCTGGCGGAGGTTCCGCGGCTCCTGTCCCGGCGGGGCGACCGCCGCGCTGCCGGTCCTGGAGCGCCACCGCGCGGGGGCGGAACCGGGAAGGCACCGTGGGCCCCCCCGGGGCCGCGACCCTCGCGGGGCGGCCGCGGGTCAGGACAGGACCCCCGTGCTCTGCCCCGGCAGTCATCGACCTGCTCATGGTGAGCGAGGCCCGGCAGATGGGCAGCGTCGCGCACAAGATCCGCATGGAGCTGCTGTCCGTCAACGACATCTTCCTGCTCTCCACCTTCCGCCTGCCCCCCAAGCAAGGCGGCACGCTCTTCGGCCTCTACTCCAAGAAGGACAACACGAGGTGGCTGGAGGTGACGATCGTGGGCAAGATCAACAAAGGTGGGTGCCAAGCACTGTCCCGGCTGCTCTGCGCCACCCATCCCACGGAGGAGCCTTCCTAGCCCCATCCTCTTCCTCCTCGTGCGCAGTGCTGGTGCGGTACCTGCGGGAAGACAACAAGCTGCACGCGGTCAACCTGCAGCACGCGCACGTGGCCGACGGGCAGAGCCACACGGTGCTGGTGCGCCTGAGCGGGCTGCGCGGGGACATGCTCAGCATGGAGCTCTACGTGGACTGCAAGCAGGTGGACTCCAGCGTGGCGCTGCCCGAGCTCTCCGAGATCCCGTTGGCCGAGGTGGAGTCCCTGGAGGTGCGCACGGGGCAGAAGGCCTATCAGAGGATGCAGGTGAGAGCTGCGGCGGGAGCGGCGCTGGTGGGGATGGTGGGCGGTGAAACGGCGTGCCCGGCCCCAACGGCATCTCCCGCGGCGCTGCAGGGCTTYGTGGAGTCCATGAAGCTGATCCTGGGGGGGTCCCTGAGCCGAGTCGGGGCGCTGAGCGAGTGTCCCTTCCAAGGGGACGAGTCCCTTCACAGCGCAGGTAAGGGCGCCTTGGTGCCGGGCACGCTGCTGGCGCGCCGCGGAGCAGCGGCAGTGACGGCTGCCACGGGCTCTCTCCTCGCAGTGACGAGCGTGCTGGCCTCGGTGCTGGGTGAGTCCCTGCTGCCCCGTTGCGGCTCCGCTCGGGGAGCCACGGAGCTGGGCGCCCTTTGCGACCTGTCCCCATGAGCACCCACATCCTGCTTTGCGCCCGCGCCAGGCGAGCAGACCAAGGCGCTGGTCACCCAGCTGACGCTCTTCAACCGGGTGCTGACCGAGCTGCGGGAGGACATTAGAGACCAGGTGAGAGCATCTCCGGGGCCAGGGTTAACCCCAGAGCCTGGCCCAAGGCTCGGCAGGGCCTCCTGCGCCCGTGCAGAGGCGCGGGCGATGGGGCCCACACCGTGGCGTCGTGCCTGGTCCCCCGCAGGTCAAGGAGATGTCGCTGATCCGCAACACCATCATGGAGTGCCAGGTCTGCGGTGAGTGCCGGGCGGGCCGCGCGGCGCCYGCTCCCGCCGCAGCCCCCGTCACCGGCCCCGCTGCCCGCAGGGTTCCACGAGCACCGCTCGCGCTGCAACCCCAACCCCTGCTTCAGYGGCGTGGACTGCATGGAGACCTATGAGTACCCCGGGTACCGCTGCGGGCCCTGCCCGCCGGGGCTGGAGGGCAACGGGACCCACTGCGCCGACACCGACGAGGTGAGCGGCGCGGGTGCCCGCCGTGCGACCGCCGGCCCCGCGCCCCCCGCTGCAGCTCTCGCCTCCGCAGTGCGCCCACGCCGACCCCTGCTTCCCCGGCTCCAAGTGCATCAACACGGCGCCAGGCTTCCACTGCGAGCCTTGTCCCCGTGGCTACCGCGGCAACACCGTGTCCGGCGTGGGGGCCGACTACGCGCGGGCCAGCAAGCAGGTGGGCGCCGCGCTCCCGGCGCGCGTTCCCCGCGGGCGCCAGCACCCCCGTGGCCGTCACGCTCGCTGCCCGCAGGTTTGCACCGACGTCGACGAGTGCAACGACGGCAACAACGGCGGCTGCGACCCCAACTCCATCTGCACCAACACCCTGGTGGGTAGAGCCGCCCCCCGCTCCGGGGCGGCCTCGCCGTGGGGCCCCCAGCCCCAAAAGTGTCCCCCGTGTCCCGCAGGGCTCCTACAAGTGTGGCCCCTGCAAGTCGGGCTTTGTGGGGAACCAGACGGCCGGCTGCGTCCTGCAGCGCTCCTGCAGCAGCCCCTCCGCCAGCCCCTGCGACGTCAACGGCTTCTGCGCCTTCGAGCGCAACGGCGAGATCTCCTGCGCGGTGAGCAGCGCCACCGGCGGGGCCGCGGGGCTGCCGGACCGGCCCCGCTCAGCGCCCTCCGCCTGCCCGCCCCGCAGTGCAACGTGGGCTGGGCCGGCAACGGCAACGTGTGCGGGCGAGACACGGACCTGGACGGCTACCCCGACGAGCCGCTGCCCTGCATCGACAACAACAAGCACTGCAAGCAGGTGGGACGCGGCGGCGCGCGGGCGCCCGGCCCCGCTCCGCTCCCGGCTCCCCTCCTGCAGCGGCCTCTGTGTCCCCAGGACAACTGCCGCCTGACGCCCAACTCGGGCCAGGAGGACGCCGACAACGACGGCATCGGGGACCAGTGCGACGATGACGCCGACGGCGACGGCATCAAGAACGTGGAGGTGGCTGTGATGCCCTGGGATGTGGCCGGCCCGAGGGGSACTGTGTGCGCGGTGGGGACATGGGCCTGTCCCTGTGCCATTTGCAGGACAACTGCCGGCTCTTCCCCAACAAAGACCAGCAGAACTCGGACACCGACTCCTTCGGGGACGCCTGCGACAACTGTCCCAACGTGCCCAACAACGACCAGCGCGACACAGACAGCAACGGCGAGGGYGATGCCTGCGACAACGACATCGACGGGGACGGTGAGCGGCCACCGTGGTCCCCCCCGCGCCGGCGCGGGGCCGCGCTGCCCGCTGACGCCCCCGGCGCCGCTCGCAGGGATCCCCAACACGCTGGACAACTGCCCCAAGGTGCCCAACCCGCTGCAGACGGATCGTGACGAGGACGGCGTGGGCGACGCCTGCGACAGCTGCCCCGAGACCAGCAACCCCACGCAGGTGCGGCCGTGGGGCTGCCCCCACGCAGGGACCCCCCCGTGGGCAGCGTCCCCTCCCTCCGCTGCCCCCGGCCTCGTGGGTGGCCTTGCCGGCTCCTGGTCACCTCCTTGTCCCCCGGGACCCCCAGGTGCTTCTCTGCAGGGGAGCTGACCTCGGGCCCCGGTGTCTTCCAGACAGATGTGGACAGTGACCTGGTGGGAGACACCTGTGACACCAACGAGGACAGGTGGGAGCCGCCGCGTCTTGCTGTGACGGGGACGGACGAGGGGTCCCCGCGTGGGCCCCGCCAGGACGTGGGCTCTTCAGGAGGTCCCAGCTCGGAGGTCCCGTCCTCACCGTGTCCTCGCTGCCCACAGCGACGGGGACGGGCACCAGGACACTAAGGACAACTGCGCCGAGATCCCCAACAGCTCCCAGCTGGACTCGGACAACGACGGGCTGGGCGACGAGTGCGACAACGACGACGACAACGACGGCGTCCCCGACTACGCGGCGCCCGGCCCCGACAACTGCCGCCTCATCCCCAACCCCAACCAGAAGGACTCGGACGGTGAGCACCAGGTGGGACGGAGCTCCCGGTAACCGGGAGCGGCCAGGGGGGTCCCCGCTAACCRTCCGGCGCAGGCAACGGCGTGGGCGACGTCTGCGAGGAGGACTTCGACAACGACACCGTGGCCGACCCGCTGGACGCCTGTCCCGAGAGCGCCGAGGTGACGCTCACCGACTTCCGCGCCTACCAGACGGTGATCCTGGACCCCGAGGGCGACGCGCAGATCGACCCCAACTGGGTGGTGCTCAACCAGGTGGGTGCCGCGGCGGCGGGGCGGCTGGCGGGGCCACCGCTGCCACCAGCGGCAACACGGGTGTCTCCCCACCTTGCAGGGCATGGAGATTGTGCAGACCATGAACAGCGACCCGGGCCTGGCTGTGGGTAAGGGGGCTCTGCGGGGTCGTGGTGGTGGTGATGGTGGTCATGGTGGTGAAGGTGGTGCTGATGGTGGCGGTGACAATGTTGATTGATGGTGGTGGCGATAGGTGGTGGTGGTGATGAAGCTGGTGGTCATGGTGATAATAATGGATAATAATGATGATAATGGATAATAATGATGTTAATGGATAATGATGATGATAATAACGGACTCTAGAGGTCCCTTCCAACCTTAACCGTTCTGTGATTCTGTGATAATGGTGCTGGTGGTATTGATGGTGATGATGGCGATAGTGGTGCTGGTGGTGGTGATGCTGCTGCTGATAAAGATGGTGGTGATGATGACGATGGGGGTGCAGGTGGTATTGATGGTGATGATGGTGATAGTGGTGCTGGATAGTGGTGCTCCTCCACCTTCATTATGGTGATGATGATGAAGGTGGTGGTGATGATGAGGGTGATAGTGGTGCTGATGATGAAGGTGATGATGGTGACAGTGCTGCAGGTGGTATTTATGGTGATGATGATGAAGGTGGTGGTGATGATGAAGGTGATGATGGTGACATGGATGCACCCCAAGCTCCGTCCTCCCGCCCCACGCAGGCTACACGGCCTTCAACGGCGTGGACTTCGAGGGCACCTTCCATGTCAACACGGTCACCGACGATGACTACGCCGGCTTCATCTTCAGCTACCAGGACAGCGCCAGCTTCTACGTGGTCATGTGGAAGCAGACGGAGCAGACGTACTGGCAGGCCACCCCGTTCCGCGCCGTGGCCCAGCCGGGGCTGCAGCTCAAGGTGAGCRGCCACGGGGGGGTCCCCGGGACGGGGTGGTGGTGGGGGGCGCCCGCGGCCGCCCCCAGCGCCCCGCTGTGCCCCCCGCAGGCGGTGAAGTCGTCGACGGGCCCCGGGGAGCACCTGCGCAACGCGCTGTGGCACACGGGCCACACGCCGGGCCACGTGCGGCTGCTCTGGAAGGACCCGCGCAACGTGGGCTGGCGGGACAAGACGTCCTACCGCTGGCAGCTGGCGCACCGGCCCCAGGTGGGCTACATCAGGTGAGCCCGCCGACCCTCGACGGCGCGCGCGGGGCCGCCGCGCGTTGCCCCTTTAAGGCGGCGGAGGGAGCAGCCCCCCCCTCCCGCCCCGGCCCCGCGCCATTGTTCCCGTCGCCCTGGCAACGCGGCGCGGCGCCGCGCGCGCCTTTCACATGCAAAGGGACCCGGAGCGGCGCCGCCGCCCCCCCCGGCGGGCCCCCGGCCCCCCCCGGGCCCCCCGGGCCCGGGCCCATGGCGCCTGCCCC